GGGTGTTCTCACCTGCTCTGTGTCCCCACTGAGGGTTTTTGGGGTGTTCTCACCTGCTCAGTGCCCCCACTGATGGTTTCTGGGTGTTCTCACCTGCTCTGAGTCCCCACTGATGGTTTTTGGGTGTTGTCACCTGCTCTGTGTCCCCACTGAGGGTTTTTGGGTGTTCTCACCTGCTCTGTGTCCTCACTGAGGGTTTTGGGGTGTTCTCACCTGCACTGAGTCCCCCCTGATGGTTTCTGGGTGTTGTCACCTGCTCTGTGTCCCCGCTGATGGTTTTTGGGGTGTTCTCACCTGCTCTGTGTTCTCACTGAGGGTTTTTGGGGCGTTATCAGCTGCTCTGGTGGGTTTATCAGCAGAGCCAGGCTTAGACCAGGCCCATTCTGGGGACAAATCAGCTCTGAGCTTTCATCTGATGGTTCACGGAGGCCGCGAGGTCCTTCAGCCTCCTTGGAGAAAACCCCAACAGCTCCAAAAAGGAACATTCCCCCCCAAAAAAGAAGGGCTGGACCCAACCCTGTGCTCCTGGCTTTTCCTGGCTCGTTGGTGTGACGGTTCCTCTGCAGGCCCAGCAGAGCCAGGAGCCGCTGTCGGAACTGGAGAAGGCCATGGACGTCATCATCGACGTCTTCCACCAGTACTCGCGGCGGGAGGGGGACAGGGACACCCTGACCAAGAAGGAGCTCAAGCTGCTGATTGACAAGCAGCTGGCCAATTACCTCAAGGTGAGGGTGCCTGGGTGTCCTCAGGGTTTGGGCTCCTGCTCTGCCCTCCTGCCCATCCACCCCGTCCCAAACCTTCTCCGGGACGGAGCCTTCACAGCTGTCATCCCCTCATCCCCCTCTCGGCAAAACCCAGCAGCGTGTTGCCCAAAATCTCCTTTTCCCCCTGGAAGCCACACCAAAAACTCCCCCCAAATCCCATTTTCGGTTGGAACTCACCTCCCTAAAGCCAAGGGGAAGTTTTTTCCACCCGGGGTGGGTGGGGGGAACCCGAGGGGGTTTTGCCCTCACCTTGCCCCCTCCTCCTTGGCAGCACGTGAAGAGCAAGGCCACCATCGACCAGATCATGAAGGACCTGGACGTCAACAAGGACGCCCAGCTCAGCTTTGGGGAGGTGATGCTGCTGGTCACCCGCGTCACCTGCGCCACCCACGAGCACCTGCACGAGGTGGAGGACCACCAGCACCAGCACCAGCACCAGCACCACCACTGAGCTCCTTCCCTCCCCTCCGAGGGCTCCTGGAGCTTGGAGAAGGTTCCGGAGCTGAATCCATCCTCAAATCCCTCCCTCCTTCCTCCCCTTCCTCCTCCTCTTCCTCCCGGCGCCGTGGTTTTGCTGCCAAATAAAGATTTCTGAAGCTCTCTGCGGGTTT